GCGTATCAAAGTAGTTATGTTGTTTCTTTTCTTTTCTTTTTTTTTTTCTTCTCTTTTCACTTTTCTTTCCCTTTTCGTTCGTGCGTCTCTCGAGAAAGACGGGAGTGGCGAGGAAAGAAAGAAAAAAAAAGAAAAAAAAAAAAAGAAAGAAAAAGAAAATTGTTGGTGGTAGTGACGGCTAGCTGGCAAGGTGGCATTGTTTCTTTTCGACTTTCACATGTTTTCCGGGTATAGAATCGTCATAAACGTAATAATATTAATACAGTAACTAATAATTAATAATAATAATAATAAAAAATAATAATAATACGAGTAATAATATTAAGATTAACTACGAATTAACACAGGCATACGCGATTTAAATACTAATGGACAGATACGTCGTAATGCGATCTCAATGGAATAAACACTATAATGTATCGTTTCCAGAGGAGAGGGCTTCATTATTACTTGGACGTTCTTTCAACAAAAAAGACTTCTTCGACAGACGTGGAAAAACAACTTCGTCAGAATCGCATCAGTTAGAAGAAAGTAACTTTTAAATAGGAACTAAACAAATATTAAATATCGTCTTTTGGTGGCATGATTTAACAGAATAACGTTAAAATTTCAATACGTTTTCACCAGAGTTTGAAACCTCCTCAGAAACCACTGTTTCGAACAGTTAATACGACGGCCCTTGATCAAACAGTTACGAATAATAATTATTTGGAACAATCGTCGCGGAGAACCAAAAAATAGGAACGTATCGATTTCGATCGTGACTCTATTATCGACTCTTTAAATCGAAACGTGCATAGAAATCTCTGTATCGATATTATAATCGTTCCTAGCATCGATTCCCTAAACAGACTGTACAAAAATCGAACCCTGCGCGTACCATTAGTACGATGTTTCTCCATAATTTCTTTATAAACAATTAATTTCATTTATGAACAAATAAATAAATTTTTGCTAAATGTACAAATTTTTTAAACACTCCTCGTAGATTTCTCATAAACGAACGAATGGATGTACAAATTTATAAATATTTTCGTCAGTTTTTCTTTCCAAAGACGCCATCGATCGGCTCCGATAGCTCTTTAAACGTCGATCGAGAAAAAAATCATCGATGGATATAAAAACAAAATGGTAAAACAAAGTCATAGTAGCGTAAAAGATTTTGCAAAAAATTTATAAAGAATTTATATAGAATTTATAAATTGATGTGCGTATAAAAAATGTATAAAAAGTTTACGAGTCTACTTGTTTACAAAAAAAATGTATAAAAAGTTTCTACACAATTTACAAAAACTATAAAATTATTTATAAATCTGTTGAAACGTTGCGTATGTGGATGTTTGTGGTGATAATTTTACCGGACTATCGGACATGCATCGATGGAAACAAAAGCTGACGAAAAGCTTTATTTTATAAATCTATTCAAGTTTAAAGGGGTACTCTACATTGAACCTTTGAAACAATCGATTTTTCTTCTTTTTAATTTCCTTAAACGTATTTGTGGGTTCCTAAAAATAATGAAATTATACTTGTTCGAAGCTATACTAAACTTTATACGCGTTTTTCTCGAAACTACGTTTCTCAGGATGGCGTCCAAGATGACCAATTGCAACCAAATTTCGCACGAACATAGAATCGTTTCCATTTTGTTTAACTCCATAGACAAAAAAAAAAAAATGTGACAAAAATCGATAACGAAACTTCAAAGAGCTGCCATTTTTGTAATTATCAATACTTCTCGTTCGTTCTGGTTCATCAATGACAACTATTTCTAATTTTTCGTGGATACATATAAGAAAAAATACTTAAACGCTTATTGCAAGAAGTTTTACAATTTTATTGCCAAAATATCCCAAAAATAAATAGTAAAAAAAATCGCGTGTTACCGTAGAACACCCCCTTAAGTTAACCTACCATTCCACGCAGGATAGACTGTTTGAAACAGTTTCATAACTTCGTAAGAAATCGGTGGTACGACTATAATAATCGATAGACGATATCAGAATCGAAGTTCTCTTTGTTCGATTCTCGGCCTGACGGTTTCCAAAGACCGCTAACGATACTCGAATATGTTTTCAATCCCTGGTTTTAACCGGCGATCCCTTTCCTCGTTCGATCTTTTTACATTCCCTCAAAACACGATCTTTTTGCCTATGGTTCTTATTCGTCTGTCGAGCATGCGTCGCTTGAAAACTGGCTAGAATACTGCAAACGTGTAACTGCTACCGATCACCGCGAGATTTCGACCGGCGTTCCTCAACGGTCCGGCATAAATCGACGAACCCGACCATTTTGTTATTTTTTCCTTCGACGCGACGAACGAACGAACAGACTGAACGGTGCTGTCGTCCATCCAAAACGTAAAATCAACGTGTCGAGAAAAAGAAAAGAAAACAAAACAAAGTAACGAAATTGTCCGGTTGCGTCGTCTCGCAGTTTCGAACGAATAAGCAAGAGATCACCACGATCCACGACTCAGCCGAGTAAAGTTTATGACTAAAGCGCATCCGACGTTAAAAATATTGGTAAACGCGTGCAAGCAAGAACCTCGATTCCGCATAATCAGCGATCGTTGACGCCACGACGACAAATTACCGAGGATCTTCTTCTCGGTTCGTTTCTCTTCCTTCAGCGACCGTGCTTTCGAAATGTTTTTAACGGTTCAAAACGTCCACAAAACTAGAAATTATTTCACAGCGCAGAAAAATATACGACTAACAATTTTCACTTATTAGAATAATTTTTCTATTTCCTTTCTAGGGTCTCGCGACTTTGAACGTAAATCTGAAACTGTACGATTCGAACGAACGACGACGTATCGTTGAAGTTTCGCTCTATCCAGTTTACGGAAAGATTCGATTCTTAATAATCGTAGAAATGGTAGCGTTCGAGGGAATGGAAGATAATAACGTCAAAAATTGTACAACTGTTTTTGTGAAGCACAGAGCCAGCGACTGTCGCTGTCTGCGCGTGGCTCGAAAATTCTGGACCGGCTCGTTCGAGGCTTTCCAGAATTTTCGAGCGTTACAAAAAAAAAAAAAGGAACACGGCCTGGTACAAAGTTTGGATACATTGTTTTGCAAGATCCTCGTAGTTCGTGGTGTTTCTTTGTATTTTTGTTTAAACCTTTCGAGATCGAGGAACTCAACGGCGCCAGCTAGCCTCGTTACATACCAAAACACGGCGCTTCGCGAGAGAATGATTTAGGTATTTTGCATCAGAGATATGCTTAAAAAATCGTAACACTTTCTTCGGCCCCTGGCAACGAGGCACTTAAATAATGAATAGATAAAAATAAAAAATCGTAATAATACAATAATAATACATACATACAATAATATTAATAATAATGTTGTTGATGATGATAATAATAATAATAATAATAATAATAATAAAAAAAAATAATATTGTAATAGTAAACATGCATGAGGTCGCGTCGTAGAACCCCGTGAGGCTCCTGTCATTGTCGACTCATCCAACAAAATATATTAATACTATACATTCGAATTCAGAACACTATCGCAAAATCGTTTTTTTTACTGGTCATACTAAAGAAAGAATGATCGTGTTTGGAACAAGGAAGTGGTCGATGGTGGGCGGTGAATGATCGTGACGGTGGTTGGTACGGTTGACGACGCGGGTAGTCATTCGGGTGGTGGTTTGTGCGTTTGAACGGGGGGTTATCGAGGATAAAAAGAAATCAATTGTACAAAACGCGATGGAAGAAAGTAGCAACGAAACCGGTGCGGTAAAGGAATGGAAAGAGCAAACGGGGATACAGCAAAGAAATTAATTTTTTCACTTACGTCGTTGCTAAAACTCGCTAAGACTACTCACTACGTTAACACCACTACGATTAAAGTAATGTCAGATCGAGAGAGAAGAATGAGAAAAGAAGAACGTTCGCGTATTTTCGAACGTTTAATGGGATCCACGGACCCCCGCGGAACCGATCGATCGAGGAAGACGAGAAAGAATTCCGACAAAGACGTACCGTGCTCCTCGTCCTTCTTTCGCGCATTCTCCCTGAACGCTCATCTTCCCTCGCGACGATCGATCGTCAAAAAGGGGGGAAAAAAACAAAATTACGGACAGCACAGGGAGGGGGAGAAGAAACACAAATTTACGCAACGATCTACGTTCGCAAAGGTGAAAACAAAAAGCAAGCATTATTCGTGGATAAAAAGAAAAACATAATCAGAGAAAATAAGAAGAATAGATTGTGAAAAGACAGCGCTAGGACTGGTCGGGTCCACTGTCGGTATTTTAAATGCACCTTGTGGGTGAATCTCCGTCGAAGTTGTCGTTGATTCTTAAAAAAAAAAAGTAAAAAAAAAAAACAAAAAGAAAACTCGTGTTCGTGTGCGTGTACATATATAAATATAAAAGTCATCTGCTTAACCACCTAGAAAAAAAAAGGAAAAAAAAAACACGCAAGGACGAGGAAGGGTTCAGGAAGAAGGACATCGATGCAGCGTTGATCTGTCCCTTAATCGCAAAAGTCGTTTTTTTAAGCGAAGGGTATATATAACGGACGTTCCTAGCAACCGTGCCGATCGTCATATGGCCCTTCGAACGATTGATCGTTAACTTTTTTTCGGTACTATTCGGGCACGTGAGGAAGAGAGAGCAAAGATTCAAGCTCAATTACCTCGCGAACTCTGTTCTCGTTCGCCTCGAGTCTTTAATGTCCGCCGAGCATCAATTAAGCCGAGTTTTAAGTCCCAAAGCGAATTGGAAGGATCGACAATCAGAAGAATCGTGTTAGATGCGGACGGGGCACACATTCGTTTGCACAACCCAAGGAAAAAATGCGTGTAGAAACGTGATACATTCGAGGTGTTTACGAAACAAACGTCCCTCGCGGGCTTTCGATCGAGAAGATGGCGAAAAGGTGGTGGACAGGAACGAGGACAAAGGGGGAAATTTAAGAATAGATTCGCACGGAAGAAGGAGAAAGTAATAGACGATGGGTCGAAGGTTTTTGGGGGAAGGGGGGAAGTGGAGTGACTAGCGGCGGCGAGCTCTACAACTAAACAACAACAACAGTATTTTCAGTTATAACAACATTAACAAGTAAGTTTTCCGCATATATGCGCTTACACGTCTCGTGTGTCTTTCCATGTTTTAACGCGTGCGCGTGTACGTTGCGCACGCGACAAAATCGGGCGTTTTCCGAGGTCGCCTGTGATTTTTTTCATTTTCTTTTTTTTTTTCTCTTTTATCATTTTCGTTCATAATACGAGCGTATCGCACGCGCGCGCGTATCGCGCCTCGAAGAGAATCGTACGCGCGACGAGTCACGCGAGCGTGTGTGTGTGTGTGTCGTCCCTCGCGTTTTTCATTTTTCGTATAGTTCCGTACCTCGTGTTTCGTTCGTTTAGAAAATGTGTTCGTCCGTTCCCGAATCCGGACGCGAAACGAAACGAGCGTTCGACCATTGGATTCTCGACGACTCTCGATCGACGTTGCGCGATCGCTCGCGTTTGGTATCTCGCGATCGGCGTCTCGTAAACGGGAGTGAGGTGGGTCGAGCGGGCGAAGGTGGATAGGCGAAGTGAGCACGAGCAGTGGTAGTAGGTGGGCGAAGAAGAAGATAGGCGAGTGTAAGTAAAAAAAGATCGATGAGATCCAGGCCGTTGGCCGGCCGTCGAAACAATGGCGGGAAAAGAAACAACGACAACGATGATCACAACGATGATCGTGGATCATTGTCGGCGTCGCGGCGCGTCGTTGCTCTACATTCCGATCGGCGGTACTTGTACGTAACGATAAATGTAGAGTCGGTAATCCTTGCTGGCCAACACGACCGATCCGTCGTCCATCAGCGCCACGTCGAAGCACTGCGCGTGCTTCACTTTGCTCTCAAGAGCCGACACCAGCTGACCGTCCTGCGTGAAAATCGTCAGATTGAAGTTATTGTGATTGTCCGCAATCAGTATCTCGCCCACGGCGTTGATCCCCACACCGATCGGGTAGTTCGTGATCCCCTCGCCGCCGATCTGACGCAGATACGCCCCCTCGTAATTGAACACCTTCACGCAATGGGCGCGATTGTCGCTAATGAATATCTCCTGCTTGTCGTTCACCACCACCCCGTTCGGGAACTCCAGATGCTTCGAGCAACCGAACTTCTGCAGAACGTTGCCAGCCTGATCGAATATGATCACCCGCATCACTTTACACTCGACCACCACGATGCGTCCCTTCGAGTCGACGGTCACGCCGCGCGGATGCTGCAGTATGTTCGCCCCGAATTTACGCACGAATTGACCGTACTGGTTGTAGATCTGTATCTGATGGGTCGGCGAACGCTCGGTCACGATTATGTCGCCCGACGTCTTCACCACGGCCACCCGGTTCGGATAGAGCAACTGGCCGTCCCGTTTTCCGCACTCGCCGAATTGAAACTTGAACCTGCCCTCCTTGTCGAATATCTGTATACGATGATTGTTCGTGTCGGCGACGATTATGTCGTTCTGCGCGTTCACCGCCACGCCCGACGGTTCGGTGAACTGGCCCTCCATCACCCCGAACTCGCCGAATTTGCAGTGATAGATCATCTTCTGTCGCTTGATCTGCGACTTGGGCGGGAATATCGCCGCCGCGGACATCAATTTCGAGGTCAGGTCGAGGACAGAGTCGCCGGACGCGGCGTTCGCCGCCACGACCACGGACGCCGGCATCGAGAAATGATCGTTCGTGGTGACCACCGGGTACGCGTCGTTTCCGCCGTTACTCCACTTCTCGTACGGGTTCGCGTTTATTCCGTTCAAGTTCAAATCGCTGATCGTCGTCGAGAACGGACCCAGGCTGTTGGCCGAGCTGAAACGTTTCGTAATCACGCTGTTGTTGGCGTCGAACGACGATGGCGAGGTAGACGAGGTGCAGTTCGAGGTAGAAGATATCAGGCCGTTGCTGTAAGGACGATCCAATAGTAGACCGCCGAGGGATCCGGCGCTTCCTGGGCCGTTGTTGACGTTGCTGCCGTTGTTACCGTTGCCCGAGAGGGCCGTTGGTCGCGCGATAGGCGGTTGCTTACCGATCGGTCCGGCGTTGCTCTCGTTGTTGCTTCGAACGTAACCGAACGTGTTTCGCACGCCTACCTGAATCGCCTGATAATTGCTGACAAACTCGAGATCGACCGTCTGATTGCCCACGTCCGGCGTATAGTTCAGCAACAACTGAAGCTTCGTGTCGAACAGCTTCTTGACCATCAATACTTCGGTGACGGTGGTGTACTTGGTCAATCGTTCGACCAACTCGCAGGTCTGAAGCATCTTGTCGGCCATCTCGTTCTCCTTTTGCGTGAGAATCCCGAGGGATATCTGTTTGGTGGAGAACACCGACTCCAGCTCCTTCAGCAGCTCTTGCTTCCGTTCCTCGAGCATCGATCTGTAGAATTGGAAAGTGTCGTTGATCTCGTTCTGTGCTTTGTGGTACTGTACTTGTAGACGCGCCGCGCCGTGATCGGCAGCCTTCACCGCGGCCTTCACGTCCGCCACCTTGGCTCTGCACTCCTGCACCACTCTCGTCATCGCCTCAAGCTGCTGGGTGCCGACCTCGGAGATGTGCGCACAATCGTGCAACGACCCGGGATGATCGGTGATGGTGCACTCCTTGCAGACCAGCACGGTGCAGGTGCGACAGAAATACTTCAACAGTTCTTGCTTGTGACGGCGACAGAACCACACCTTCTCACCGTTTCCGTTGCCGCCGTTCGCCACCTGGCTGTTCTTTGCGATTTCGGTGCCAGCCGAGTTAGTAACGGTCTCGAGCTTCGAGTCGTCGAGATTCAGGACACGGTGTCCCTCGAAGCAGTGCATGAATTGATGCGCCATCACGCAGTTCGGGCAAAGGAAATTCGCGCAGTCGAAGCAACGAGCCACAGCGTCGGACTCGGTGGATTTGCAGCCGGTACAGCGTACGCCGCCGGCGCCTCCTAATCGACACCGCGGGCAGGGCGCCTCTCCAGGTTTCTGTGCGTCGAGACAAAGGTCGCAGCTGTCGACGTCGCAGATCGCTGAGTCACTCGCAGGCGGAGAACTGCCGCTCACTGTAAGCGGGGACAGCGAGGCCAGGGACCCGATGGAATTCGCGCGCGATTCCAGCGAGAGTGTCGGCGAGGCCATCTTCAGTCAACCGGCATCCCTGTTGACAGAAAAATGCTTCATTTAATCTAATACTTCGTCATCCGCGCGTGTACAGCAGGGTGGGGACCTTAGTTATGCACTTGGTGAACATATTATCTGCGATTTTTTGGGGGAATTTGATGATTGAAAAATAAGGTCCACCCTAGTGTACAGTCACTTCCACTCGTACGTTCGTACACCTTAACGCTGGAACTATCAAACTGGTCAAAATGATATAAATATTGTACAAAATTTACTCGACTGGATTTTTGCAAATTTTCAGTGGTTTTGTATAAAAGAATGGATAAATATTTATTTCCATTATATTACACGTTTCTTCAACTATCTATCGTTTTAATTTCTTTCGTACAAATAAATACACCATAAGTGGTGATCCTTCTAATGTTAATAGCGATTAACTATAATATAAATAGAAAAAAAATTTGTTTCTTACGAATTGAGTCGTTGCTTTTGAAACTAGAATAAGTTTGAATAAATTCAAAAGGAAACTCGTCAGCAGTTCGTGTGTGATCACTGAAGTTAACTTCGTTGGGCGAAACACACTGCGTATTTGTTGATTTGTGTACTGTTTATATTATTTATATCTCTCTATCAGTTTTGTAATTGGGCGTTACTTGCTTGTTATTGTTTAAAACAAAAACAAAACATTTGATAAAAATAAATGGAAAGAATTCATAAGGAAGCAAGTTTTCATTTATAATGAATCGCCATTATAGTGTATGAATACAAGTGAGAGTAGCTGTATGTGTTAACTTTAGACTACACTAGAATATCCCCTCAAGAAAATTTATAACTCTGGTTGTAACAGTGTTCCGACCAGTGTTAACGAGTACTCCAAGGGTTAAGATTCAAAGATTTGTGATTAAAAACTTAATATGATATTGCTTTGGTATTTGGTTCGATAAATGGTAACGGTACAGTAATGATTCGTAAAATGAACGTTGCTTTGGGGTGTTGGCCTGTCCATCTTTCATATAGCGAACGTGAAATTCAACATCTTTTGGAAGGGATATAAATGTTCAATTTACGAATCACGTGTTGATTTTAAGAATCATTACTGTAATAGTCAATTGGTCATCTGTTTAAATATTCACTCACGGTTTTCGGGACAAAGATGACATAAATATATAAACAAAGATATGTTGTCAAGAAAAACAAACATACCGATTTGATTAAAGTTTTGTTCCTAAATAAGAACGTTTTTGGGTAGAAAAAGACCAGAAGAGCGACTGAGGGTCGAAGATGATTTGACTATATTTTCTACTATGGAACTAGAAAAATTAAGTTTCAAGTTGAGACGTTGAGGAAAATAAATTTGGGTTCTTTAGATTAGAAGATCTGTCTTTAAAATATATAATCCAAATTTTATAGTATCTTTATTGCTCTGTTATCTTTAATTCCATTCTCACGCGTAATGGCGGCGAATTTAATAAGCTGAGGATTCCTGATATTACCATTCTCTTAAATATATAATATGCTAATAAACACACCACGAATTTTAATTCCCAAAAAATTATAGAATGTACTTAATATGCAAAGTATAGGAAATACTTAAAGTAAGGTATTATTATATTTATGGGTTAAGACAATCCTCTATAAAGTTCTCATTTCATTAATTCTATTAATAAAAATCTGAATTTGCATAAAGATCCGCAGTCTACTAATAAATAAATCTTCCAATATATGTTAATAATAAAAAAGGTATCATTCAAGCATTTAACCCCGAGCGTCAAGGGGTTAACGTACTAAATTCGTAATTGGACGTTCCACGGAGAGCGTCGAAGGAAGAAAGTTAATTTCCTTGGGAAACCCGTGCCGCGGCAATCCCCCGTAATTGTTCGACGAGGCCAATGGAAGAAGCACGGACGCAAAAGCGCGCCGATCATTGGTCCCCGGCTCGGTTGGCATTCGTTGACACTTCACCCACGGCGTTACAAGCCGGAAGCTGTTTCGGTCTCGATGCCGTCTGCGTCTTCGCCGGAGGCTCTCGACTCCCACGCGCTCCCACGCCCGTGGATCCGTTCCCGCGAACGATTTAACGATGAAAGGATACTCTCTGTCCCTCTCTAATTAAATCTGACCGAACGAACGGTCATGTTTCACCTGAGTGCTCGTGGGTAGATGGACAGATAGAGCGAGAGGAGCCTGGCTGGAAGGAAATCGCCACGGCGGTGAAAAAAGGACGGAGATCGGTAGCCCGAGAGAGTCCCAAGGTCACCGATGCGAAGGTTATCGCACTTGCGCCGCCTCGCCGGGAGGCAGAATCCGCGCGGCGCTGCATTTCGCGCAATGACACGTTCGCATTTCCGAGCCGACGACGAATAACGCCGCGCGATCCAGAGAAAAAGATTAAACAGAAAAAGAAAATTAAAAGAACCAGACGGCGCAGAACGATCGAACGAGCGGAACAAAGACCGTCTCGACGCTCCAGGAAATACTCGCGATGTCGGGCCGCGGCGCTCTTCCCGCCGCGACGAGGAGATGCATTCGTGCAAGAATTTCGATCGAGTCCTGAGATAAAAGGCGAATGCTCCTGCGGGAAGTACCCCGTCGGACCCGAGGTCGCCGGAAAGCTACATTTAGCATACCGAATGTGGAGGAACGTATACTCTTCCAGCGGCAACGGAACACGCAGTATTTACAACGATCGCGTTCTTTCGCGTACAACCGAGCATATTTCGAATACCGATGTTACCCAGCGTTATCAGATTCGCGAAACAACAGGGGGGAGTATCGAAAAGTTTAATTCGAAATTGAAAATGTATTTTAAGAATAAGACGCAGGTGTATCAGCTGGAATAGTTTGCGTGGTTGCTCGATGTATGTAACTCGAGTTTGACTTCCGGTACGTTTGTCCACCATGTAACGCGACGACCGCGTGTTTTTACGTTGTTTTGTTTTACGTTCATTTATATTATGTTCGGCCACCTTTGGGGAAAATTTTAATGGAAGATTTTAGAGAGCAAAAGAATACCAATTTGTTGATCGAGGCTTTGTTAAGAAGTTACTAACGTTTAAAGTTCCGCCTGTGAAACGGCAATCTGCGAACAGCTGCTAGTGGTTCTCACTCAGAAAACTGTAAGGCTGTCGATACGTCAGTAGGCAGAGTTTATCATGCTGTATGAGAACCACTATCATGCACACGCAGCTGTTCTACAGGCCAAATTTTAAACGTTAATAACTTTCTAACGAGACCTCGATCAACAAATTGGTATTTTTCATTTTCGTCTTATTTTGGCCTCTAAAATCTCTCATTAAAATTTCTCCCAGGGGTAGCTGGGCACCCTGTATAGTATATGTACTAAGATATCAATATTGCAGATTTAATTTGCAATGTAACTTAACTAAACACATAAAGAATAAATTGAAACTTAACGACTATGTCGAGTAATTTTATCTGTAATCCTGATAGGGAGAATTGTCTGCACGTTCATTGTCAAATATGAACATTGACACGCAAAGAAACTGAAAGAAAGGGTGTTTGAACAAACAAAATCGAGTCACGAAGAATATCTTGAACCGCGAAAAAATTGAAACGGGCAACGTTGGGAAAACGTCGACAAGGTGGAAGAGAGGAAATGATAGGGGAGTGGTGGGAGAACGACGAGAGAGAAAGAGAGAGAGAGGAGAGGCGGGCAGGCAGGGTGCGTACACCCCGATCGATGAACGTCGTTCAGGGGTCACGTTGCTCCCCTCTCGCCCCTTGCCAACTGCTGGAGCCCTGAAGTGTATCAACTCTCTACTCCCCATCACGTTTCTCATCCACAGGCTGCCAGTTCAAATAGAAGCCGCGCGCGCGCGCGCGTGTGCAAAAAGCGTACGTATAGCTTGTCTGCCACGATCTACGACCTTGGATAAGAAAAGTCTGGAATCAGCCTCGTAAGTAACGGAAAAATTTCCTTACTCATAGACGGTAGTAACGGCCGCGCACCGCGCCTAATACGGTATACGCCAGCGACGATGAATCGTCGCGCGACAAAAGGATAATGATTCTTTGCGAAATTAACTATACCGTCTTTCGTTAAATTACAATCTGGCGAACACTGTTGCGAGAATATTCTTTCCGTATATTAGTAATCCTCGCAAGAATGTGAAAGGAACGTCAACTCCTCCTCGAGGGAACATCCAATATGGCCGCCGATGTTCCCGAAGCGTTTGATCGCTTGCTGTGCGTACGGTTTCTAACATAACCTATCTAAAGTTAAATTATTCGAATTATTGAAATCTATAGATTTTTCGAGATCTGAGAGAAGAGTAAGAAATATTACGAGTATAATTTTTACATACGAGGACATCTCTGGATAATATGGCCGCCGATATTCCCGAAACGTTTGATTGTTTATTGTATGTAGGGTGACAATTTCTAAATTAACCCAGCTGAAGTTAAATTACTCGAGTTTCCTACAGAATGGAATTATTGAAATCTAGATTTTTCGGGGTCTGAGAGAAGCGTAAGAAATATTACGAATATAATTTGTATAAACGTCAAGGGCATCTCAAGACACGGAAAGCTGACGGTGTCTAATTCGTGTAAAACGGAGGGAAGAAATTTTGCATCGACTGGAAGAAAAGAGGAAGGAAACACGAGAATTTAAAGTTACTACCGCGAGATCCTCGATTCAGTGAATAGGTACCCGAAGGTGAAACGACTGAAATCATTTATCGTTTCTCGTTAATAGAATAACCAGTTGTTGGTAATGCAGACGGTGCAAGATCCCGAGAGCGGTAGACATCGCTAGTCGGGTTTCTTCCTTTTCTTCTTTGCTTCCGAGGAAGAAGATAGCCCCGTGTATCCTGGGCCCGCGCGTTTTTTATAACAACGCGGACCCAGCGTCTATGTACACGGCAACGGCATTAATTCTACTGGCTGTCTAGGCGATCGGATCTTCTCGGGAGGAACACTCAAGGGCGGACCATAAATCTTGTCGTCCCTCGCCGGGTCACCTTTGTAAGCTGGTACCTAGCAATCGCGCCTAAGTGCATCGAGAAAATCACGAGA